GCTAGCCCACCCCAGTGTCCCCAGCATACCCAGCTAGCCCACCCTAGTGTGCCCAGGGGGCTCAGCTAGCCCACCCTAGTGTCCCCAGCATACCCAGCTAGCCCACCCCAGTGTCCCCAGCATACCCAGCTAGCCCATCCTAGTGTGCCCAGAGGGTTAGCTTAACTAGTCTGGGTGTCCCCAGGGGGCTCAGGTAGCCCACCCAGGTGTCCCCAAAGTGCTCAGCTAGCACACCTTGATGTCCCCAAGGTGCCCAGCTAGCCCTAGCTGGGGTCCCCAGGGTGGCCAGCTAGCCCACCCTGATGTGCCCAGGATGGATGTCCCCAGGGCACTCAGGTAGCCCACCCCAGTGCCCCCAGGGTGCTCGGATAGCCCTCCCGGGTCCCTCCCAGCTCCTTAGGGTGCTTGGCTACCCCAGCCAGGGTCTTGGCTACCCCCGCCAGGTGCCCCGAGGTGCTCAGCTAGCCACGCTGCACACCCCCCATTCCTCGGGGTGCTCCCAGCATGTCCCCAGGATGCCCACCCACCAGCACCCGTGGGGACGTTTTGGGGCACTCATGGTGCGTGCCTGTGCGAGGGCCACGCTGCGGGCAGGGAAGGTAGCCCAGAGGGATGGCAGAGGGGCTGGGGGATCCCTGGTTGTCTTCTCGGGATGCTTCGGGGCCCAACCCCTGCCAGGAGCAGGGGAGGGGACACTGTCCCACCACCACCGCCACCATCACTGCCCCAAAAAGCCCCCTTGGGAGAACCGTCCGCTTCTGTCCTCGGGGCTGCCGGGCGGCCAAGGGGTCAGCGAGAGAAACCGGCTATCAAAGAGGGGGTCAGCGCTCCCAGGGAAACGCGTGGGAAGGAATGCACTCCTGCAGGGGAGGAGAGCGGCGCTGGGATTCCCCTGGCACAGCGTCAGGGCCACCGCCGCTCTCCTGCCAAACTTATCCCCCCTCCCACCCTCCAACCCCAGTCCCGGGCACTGCCCTCGCCGCCCTCCCAGCTCCGGGCTGGACACCAGCCACTCCGCTCCGAGAAGGAAAAGGAGCCGGCCCAGTTCCTCCCCGAGGTTTCCCCAAGGATTTTGCCCGCATGTGCTGCGGGAGATAAGAGGAAGCCATTTAATAGCATTCCCTGCCCACGTAGTCATCAGCTTGGCAAGGCGGGATGGGGCGAGGAAGAGAAAGTGCGGAGCTGGAGGCAGTTTGCCCTCCTTGGCAGCGCCGGGCTGGAAATCACCGCTGGTAGCGAGCCCGAGGAAAACGGCCCCCGGCACACGGCATCGGCCCCCGGGAGCTTTGCTCGCCGGCAGCAGCAGGAGCTCAGCACCCCGCAGGGGAAACCGCTGTGCCCCGCGCAGGACATGTGTTGTTGAACTCAGGCCCGGCCAGGGATGCGAAATCTTTGTGCGTGGAATCAGTTTGGAAACCCCGGAATGTTTGGAAACATCCTTAGGACTGCCGCCCTGGCAAGCGCTGGAGGTCTGGGGGAAGCGCTCCCCGCTGCAGAGCGGCCATGGCAAGGAGGCAGGCGGGGAGCAGGGGGTGGGTACCCCACGTCCGTGATGAAGCCCACCACGTTCAGCTCCCGTATGTGGCGCTGCCGTCCCCGGCGAGGTGCGGGAGGGGAGCAGGGAGCCCTTCAGCCCCAGGCGGAGCCGGGGTGCGGCAGGCAGCGGTGGTGGTGTGCCACGCCGGAGCCAAAGGGTGCCGACAACGGCCCCATAGCAACGAGCGGAAGCAGGAGGGGGCAAAGGACGGGGCAGGAGGGCACGTGTTCACCCTCACCCCCACGCAGCACTGGCCGCTCCGTGCCAGTGAGTCACTGGGCCAGGGGGCACCCGCCTTTGATGGGATGCCATGCATCAAGGGAGGACTCGCTCCTACTCACAGGAGTAAAGCAGAGACGGAAAGCAAGACCAGGATGAGCTCTGGCTCCCGCAGGCAGCTTAGGCGGGAGAAACACCTTCAAGAGCCCCATCCGTCCCCAGAAGGGCTGGAGAAACAGTAGCTGGGGGGGAAAGACCCTTCCCTCCCCCCTTTCTCTGCATACCCTGCTTTCTGGGTCCCGGGGCAGCCCAGCTCTGGCTGCAGGACACGCCGTGGGGCTTGGGGCCAGCTCCAGGGGGAGGAGAGGGACCGAGGGGATGCACGGCTCCAGCATGCACGCAGGGCACGGGGTTGAGGGTGCGCACGTTTTGGTACTCCCTCCTCCCACCAGGTCAGCAACAGCTGCCCTGAAGGAGAGGAGCTCCAGAGTCAGGCTAGTTTAAAAAAAAACAACAACAACAAAAAAAAACCAACAAAAAAAAACCCAACACAAGCTTTTTATTCTTCATGTGCTGCTCACAGTCACAGCCTGGAGACACTGCTCTTGCCAAAGTTATTATGAAACAAATCAAGTCCCAGACTCCTCAGGCCTCGCTCTTCCCCACCCCCAAGAGAGTCAACATTGTACAAAACTCTATTTACAGGGAAAACAGTCAGAAATGGGGAGTCCAAAAAAAACCCCTTGCAACTCTGAAGAAAAAAAAACATCCAAGACAAGTGTGACAGTTACACCCTCCGCACAGCCAGGCTGCCCACCGGCGGCTCCCGGGGCTGGTGGAAGCCCAGAGCTTCTCGCCACCGACTACTAAAAGGAGCGCGGCCATCCTGAGTCACTCCACAGCTGTTTCTTCCTTTACAAAAAAAAAAAAAAAAAAAAGCTGGGAAATTGCAAAACCCGCTCGATCCTACAAAGGCTCAGCTGGATCTGCCCTACAGGGCTTTCGGCGAGGCCAGCGCAAGACAACCCTCGGGCTGCCCCATCCTAAAGGAGATGGGGCTGAGGGTCAGTCTGCGCCGTTCCTCGGGCGCTTCCCCGGAGGGAATCTCTCTAGCTGGCAGCCGGAACGTCAGGAGCCTTCACATAAGCAGCGGGATGCGTCAGGAGACCTAATATCTGATACTGCATTTACTGGAGTCACGGTACTTTGAAATATAAACCGAGAGGAGCAAACCAATATTTAAAAAGGGGGCAAAAAAAAAAAAAATAAAGCAAGCATT